GCCAGTAAACAAAGAAGGTAACAGATGATGTCTTAATCTATTATATACTTTATTTATCATCATCAAAAAAATGCTTTGATTAGAAATCACTATATAGAAACAAGTCATATGGGAGGGAGCATGCTCTGGTATCCTCTTACTTTAACAATATGCCTAACATTACAATGTCAAATCATTTAAAAACAGCTTCTTTCACAATCTTTATTTTCAATTTTACACCTGTGAAAAAGAATCCATTCTAGATATTCACATACTGTGTTAGTAATATCTGATTCACACTAACAGAAATAAAAACACTGAGAAAAAGAGTTATGTTATGGGCCTGCTGATTTACAGCAGTTAAGAATCTAGCACTCATGTTTTGCAATATTGCAAATGGATGTGTCGATGGAACAAGACATTTCAGTGTGATATATTCTCTAAAATTGTTTGAAAAACTCTTGTTCCCTCACCAGTGATAATTATTCCTGCAAGTATCACAAGAGCGATTCCCACACACAGTCTATTTTTTTAATTGAAGTAATTAGCCAAAATACATCAAACATTTCAGAGAGCATACTGTTCCAGAAAGAAGCTTCTGTGTCATAACTAGGTTATTAAAATGTGCCTGAAAGAAATCAAGAGGAAATTCAATTCTGGTATTAACTCACTGAAGCCAAAGGGTAAATATCAGAATAAGTGTCAAAAGAATCAGTCTCAGAGGTCTTACCTGATGCGATCAATGCAACGGTGTGTGTTAGCAAAGAAAGCATGTTATAAAGCATACATCAAAAATCAAAATTATATAAGCAAACAAACCAATAAAGTAATAAAAGTGTTTTTCTAGATTTTATACTCCATGCAGAGTTGTGATTCATTGTGAGATTCCTAACGGAGTCCTAATTTTTTTACTTGTTTTTTGCTTATTATTTTGAAAACAAATCATAGCTTTTCTCTGTATTCTTCCTACTACCTCTCTCTCTGCTCCCTTTTAGACCTCCCCAGTGATATCTCTAGCTCACTAGCATAATCCAACTTCATTTTTTTAAACAAGCAAGTAGCTAATCCTGTTATATTTAATAGAAATATTTTAATAAATGCTATTGTTCACAATGTGTTATTGCATTCCTCTCAGCAAACAGTTCTACTGCAGTAAATGTCTGCCTCTACATATAGCATTTTAAATGTACTATTTTAACTACCAAATTACTACATAATAATGTTACTATCAGTTAAATATTTTCAGTCATCACAACTAATCCAAATTAATTATGCTTTTGTATTTTTCCATTTATTCACATTTTAGAAAAAAATTACACATATCAATGTATTATGGCTTAATAACTTAAGTTATATTGACTTGTTATAATGTCCTGTGTTCAAAGATTTACGCACTAATACATCAATATAGTAATGACTATATACAGTAAACAAAAACGTCTCCTCATTTGAATCAGTTTTTGTTAGCGTAGATTAAAACTGGTCAGTACTAGATGTTTTTGATCAGCATTCCAAATAAGCATAAAATCCAGAATGTTTACAATTTCCCATAAAAAGCAGCATCCCCCCTAAAAAGTTGGTTTTGGATCAAATCAAAATATTTCATTTTGTTTTTTCCATAAACAAAATGGGGCAGCTAACTTCCTCGATTCCGAGGATCCCCAGAGACCCAGGAAAGCTCCCTGCTGTAGAGGGCAGCGCTCAGACACCCTGACAGCACCAGGAGAGGCAGGGCTCACAATGTGCAAAGCCTGCAGTTTAAATTCTGGAACCACCTTCTCAAAACAAAGCCCCCAGGCTCAAGCTTTGCAGCCCAGCTCCGGGTTTCCAGCAGCTTGTTGAGCTGGCCAGCAGAAAACCAAGCATTTTTTTTAGTTTTACTGTCTTCCTGCCTATATTTGGACAGAAGTTTATCAAGAATGAGATCTTTGTAGTGAAACATTTTGGTCAATTAAAACAAATATGAGTATTTTTGACGATAAAACTTTTCCCTGGTGTATATCTGGCTAACCCTCCTGTCAGTGAAATAGTAGGAAGAGGGGGCTGGGTTAATACAGACCGTCAGAAGGTACAAAGAAGTATAGCAGACTCGTAACTTACATGCATATGCAAACATCTTTTGTATTATAGAACAAATCCTGCACTGCACTGATGTACTCCTTATTCTGTTTTCAACCCTCCTTCACTGTTAACATAAAAATTAACTTCTTGATATTGTTATTTTTATATGTAATTAAAGGGAGGAAATTGTGACATTTATATATTAAAAAACAAACAAACAAACTGTATTTGTAAAAGTGCTCTTCTAAGAACTGGTGAGATACACATTCTTTTTTTAAAACATTCATGCCAGCTACCATAAGCACAACAATACAATACAAGCAAGGACAGAAGGCAGAATAACAAGGTGCATGAGAGCTGTAGAAACAACCAAAGTAAAGATGCTCTCAGCAGCAGAATTGATGAACCATACACAAGTGTACACCGCCTCCATATCTTATATAATTCGCACAATAACAGGCCTGAGAAGATCACTAACCTTTCTGAAGAGTGGGTGTTCAATATATATGACTTTCTGAGTCCGTTCAGTAAAGAAAGAGCATTAACAATGTGGGTGGGGTGTAAAGAATAAAAGAGAACCAAGACAATTAGAACTACACTGCAGAAAAAAAGTCTTTGGACATTTTCACAACTTAGGTTTTGAAAGAAAAGGTCAAAGAGTAACTGCAAAACCTACCCTTGAGGTATTGTTTGTCTTAGTGATTTATTCATTACAATTCTTAGTCATGCTGCTATCTAACTGATCCCATCATGCCCTTTAAAAAGTAGAACGGCACAAATCTCCTTCATATTCCTCCTTTAAACTTCTCTCTCCTGTGATGCCTAAAAAAAGCACTCCATAGCACAAGGCAGCTGGTGTACTGTGACTGCTACTTATTATATATACCAAGCATGATTGATTGTTTCGCTGTTACTTCATCCTCATCTCCTCTATTTGTTTGTTGTATTCACCTGTTGTCTTTTATTATATGCCGAGACAACAAGTTCTCTGAGGCAGCAGCTGCCTTTTCAAATAAACGAGTACAGAACCTTGCACAGTAACGGCACTACGCCCTCCACGGCTAACAGCGTGTGTGAGGGAGACCGTTGCTGCAGGTCCCACACCTATTACAATGTCCACTGTCATCTCAGTAAAAGTAAAAACTTACTGAGACAAAACACAGTCAAAACTTCTGCAAAATATTCTGCAAAGTGTTACAGTGTAACTTTATAAGAATCAACATTTTGAGAATATGTCCTTGGAATATCAGAGCATCAGTGGGATATCATGTCATTCTCAGGTGAGTTTAAGGGTATTTCATAAGCATCCTTACCGTCACCAAGCAGATAAACAAGATAATAAAATCTTACTAAGGTACAATAAGGTCTCTTAAACTAGCATGAACATTAGGAAGGTTCTTGCACCATGCTTTGAAATTTCATATGCTTTTAGTGGTAACCAGAAAGTTCCCAATAGGAACATGAGTCCCATGAGTAGCAAGTTCAGAAAAACGGGACTCAAGGAGCTAAGACAGCCTCAGAGAACTACTACATGACAGCTGTAAGAAGAGATTGATGCATTCTACTATTTGACAGGATTTTTTATTTTTTAACTTCTTCCAAGTTTGTAAGCAAGAACCTACACCTTTGCTGTGCTGGAATAAACTTCTCATAGTGAAGCTTGTCTGATGTTAGGACTGATTTCAAGCCACTCCGGTAGGTAACCTACTTCTCAGGAAAAAAAAACATATAAAGTCATGTTACTTTACAGCGATGTTACAGATAAACTGTCCATGTGCATGCAACCCAAGGAGATCCCAAGAACTGGGACTAACTTGCTACCAAGTTCATTTGGCGGTAGGCAATGTCAAGTACCACGGCAGAGGAAAATGTCTTTCCTGACAGGCTTTAAGGACATTACTCCTGGCAAGCAGCAGAGATAATCCACGGTATGAGGTAATCCTACGTTAACATGGGGGCCTTTATCCCCAGCAGAGTCTACAAATACCCCCACAGAACCAAAAATTCATAATAAAAAACTTAAACCAGTTGGATGGGTTTCGACTGGTCGAATAATGAAGACGACATGTGAGACAATTGGGAAAACTGACGAAATTACATACCTCTTTTTTCTCCTACAGACAGACAGGACCTAAATTGTTCTGTTTCAGTTGGCAGTTTCACGGTCTAGCGTAGCCCCAGACTACTGTGGAGCACAGCTTCAGTCCATCTGCAGGAGGAACCTCTTCAGACTCTAGCGGAAAAGACCTAAGATAAATTTCACAAGACTTTTGTCATAGGTCTATGTAATCACCTCTGCCGAAGGAACGAGGCTATAGGGATAGATGTCTAAACTGTTCAAAAAGCAAATTCCCTTTAGGCATCAAAAGCAGCGGGCACGTTTTCAACACTGCTGCTGATGGGCTGAAAGCTCATTCTGGAAGCTAGCTAGGTTGTCTCCCTCCAGTTCATGCAAAATACCGTTAAATCCATGCACCTTGCTGACAGGAACCAGTGAGGTGGACGAGGGTCTTAGGAATACGGCCCCGTTCGCTGTTTCTCTGCTCGACAACCAGCAAAGAAAACTGGCGTCCCCGAGCCTCACCTCCGCGGCGGCGAGG